GTAGTCATATGATTACAGGTTTACATTGTACCAAGGTCAATATTAACGATCGCATTTATTTTTCATTGAAAATAAAAAAAAAACTTAAAAAAAAATATATAATATAAACTATAATACCGTAGTTTCATTCAATGGGGCCCCAACAGTTTTAAACAAATAAAAGCTGGGTTCTTATGTTTGAAATCATGCTTCTGATTTTGTGATCAATCTGCTTTGCATTGTATATAGGCCCTACGTTATTAAAACATGTTTAGTTCTCACTAAAATTGGCCTATTCTCTGTATTTATTTACACCTAGAGTACATAGGACCAGAGTACATAGGCCTACTGAAGGACTATACCAGTCCGAAAGTCATGTACCACTCTATGTTCTCTAACAACGGAGTTAACAGTTAATTTTTCAATCTCCAGCAAATTTAAATATAGCATTCAAAATCCTCCTTTTTCGAATGTAAGGAAATAGATAGTACTTTATATTTGTTGGATCGATTGTAACTCCTGATTGTAGCAACCCCAAAACGAATGGCACTTCAGAAATACAGTACAGTATACCAAAACATCTCTCAAATTTTATATCCTATCGCGTTGTTTGTGTTATAAGTTAACTTCATTTATTTATTTTTTATTCTATTTATTTTTTTTAAGCTACAGGTTTGGAATATTTTTAAATCCTTAAGTTAAATTATTTAAAGCTTTCTTTTTATTTTCAATGAAAAATAAATGCGATCGTCAATATCGATCTTGGTACAATGTAAACCTGTAATCATATGACTACTTATACAGAATTTTACTATATTATAGGCCTAGACTAGGCCTCCTACTATAGTATAGAGGCCTAGTCCAAGACTTTGTTGCAACTCCCAGCCCACATAAGCCTAACCTATAATGCCAAGCATAGGGCTCGTGATCGCGGTACCCTGACCATTAAGAAGACGCACTGGGAAGCGTTGTTCACGGCATTGGACTGCGGCGAAAACTGATTCTCCCATCATTAATGGAACAGTCCCACGTCATGCTTGGCTGATTAGTTTTGATTTACATTTCGCAAGTCTAGTGCCATACGCAGCAAAAGTTCATTTCTAGTGTTGTTGTCAAATGCATTTCAAACCAGCCTGGTTTTTTATTTATGTTTTGGAATAGAATTTGGAGAGGGCATTTGATCATGTCAGACCTACGTTTTGAATTTGAATTACATTTTAAAGAAATTAGAACTCTTTGAAAAATTTGAACTACGTTTTGAAAAATTAGAACTTCATTTTGGGAAACTAGATCTACATTTTGAGAAATTTACGCCTACGTTTTGATAAATTAGACATTGAATTTTGCAATTACATTTTGATTTTAACATGGACTTTTGCTGCGTATGGCACCCCATAGAAATGAGCTTTCCTGACTTCTGATGAGTATTTTAATGACCTTTAAATTCTTCAAAATTAAAGGTTTCCCCCCTCTTGAAAAAAGGTCAGGTAATTTTATCTTATTCTTTAGGCCTATCATAGAGGAAAAAAAAAATCAAAGACAGGCAATATATTATTATATTCCAACAACATTGAGTAGTTAGACATGTAGCCTTTCTTTCATGGATCGATGAACTGATAGGCCTGAAGGACTCACTTTCGAACATAAATTATTACGACGGTGAGCTAAAAACAGTGTGTATAATTTATTTAATTGAAAACTAGTTGGGCTAAGCCTAGGTTGTCTGATTTTCTAACTTATGCCTAGGTAGGTTACCATGCTTTTTGTAAGCCAGGAACCAGTTGTATTCTGTTACGTTTCTTCACAGAGGGGGGTTCGTCCAAACCCCTTGAACCCCTCCGGGATCCGCCAATGTATATGACGTATCAATAGGTAGGCCTACATAAATAATACTCTAAGCGATCTAATAAATTTATCTGGTAGGCTTAACATTATTTTCTGTTGAGATGGATGATCATGTTGGAAATTCTAATACAAATTTTCCCTTTTAGGCCTCTGAAATTGTAGGCTATGGGTCACAATTATGAGCCAAAAAGTCCTTGCATATCCTATGCACCACTAAAATCTGAACTGCAGGCACCGTGGGCTGGCTTTGCCCATGCAGGGAGTTGGTAGATGTGGAACGTGATGCCTGCATCAGAAAGTGCACTGCCCGCGATCGGTACTGTAATGTTTAACTTTTTCAAAATAAAATTTGCTTAATGTTTTTAATAATTCAAAATATTTTTAGTTAACAAACAAAATTATAACAAAATATGTTATTCTTTAAAATATTCTTTTTTTAAAATAAAATTCTTCTGACAGCTTGCTGATTTTTTTTTGCCATCTATAAAATACAAATTTGTTCTTACACTTTTTCCTTCTTTTACTCTTTAGAAACTGATGATTAAATGTAGATCAGAATTTAGATTTCAGAATTACACACACATAGCACACTGATAATTGCCAAAATATATACAAGAATAACTGTTCAGAGAATAAAGGTTTTACCAAACACTGTACTTACTTTCTACTGAAACAGAGTTTATCATCTAGATAACAAACATGTAAGAAAATGAAATACACATTATCATAATAACATTATCATTGTAATTATTATCATCAGAACATTACCATTACAATAATACAGTGCACTCTCTAATTTGAGACCCCTATTTCTGAGACCCTTTTAATTCAAGACCACTTTTTCAAAAACTAAATAACAATCTTGATTTTAAACACAAAACTTAACCCTCTAATTGGAGACCGAACCCTGAGGCCACTTCAAATTTTAAGGTCCTAAAAAATTGTGATCTTGAATTGAAGGGTGAACAAAACAAAATTTTTTTCAGGAGGTAGAAATAGGCATGAGCATAAAGAAAAACACTGATCTTCACATCCTTCATCAAATACTGGAAAATTTGTTATGATGTTGATGTTATGTTAAAAGTAATATCAGTGATAAAAAGAATTAATATTGGAAACACAAACTGGTACAATAATCTTGAAATATTTAGGAACAATCAGCATTTTGAGATCAATTAATTGAGTTGAATTATAAAAATGAAAATGTATGCAGATTGCTGAAATTGTACAGGAATAATAATTACATTAATATTATGTTCCACTGCTGGACATCAGTAAAACCTTGAGGGTGTTAACATTTTTCTTGACATCATTTAACTCTTGTCATTTGGCCATTGCTAGCTATGAATGAGGACAGTATATCAGACTGTAAATACTTAAGGTTTTCATTCAAACTTACTTTTGTAGCTGAAACCACCAACTATTGCAGCAACCAGTACCACAAGGCCAATCACAATTCCAACTGATGACAAATGAAATTCATAATGACATCAAAAAATTACCAAATGTTCTTATAATGTAACTGAAACATCCAAATAGAATGTAATATTTCATTATGTTATCACCACCATCTTTATTGTTTACTTTTATTGTGACTACTATTATTATTATAAATATATTTGAGTAATATTTAATTATTATTAACATTTACTATTTGGCCACCTATAATAGATAATTATACTTATAAAATTAAAATTAAGGAAACACGAGATCTCATTAACATTTATTTAGCATTTAATAAAAATCAAAATACATTTGGTACATACAGTAAAATAACTAAAACAAAACTATGTAATTTTATAGGAGGCAAGGATTAAAAAAGCAATTAAAATTTAGCTCACAAGCTTGTTAATCCATCGTTCAAAAAACCAACATAAGTAAACAGAATATAATCAGTAGTAAAAGGTAAACTATACATGGTACAACACATATGAATTAAATTAAATTTTGACATTTGAAATATCACTGATCTCATGCTATGTAAAGTAAAATTTTGAAGTATTCCTTACTTATTATAAGTGTGCTTGAACTCTCATTAGCTGAAACAGTAAAAAAAATCAAATTGAGACATATATCCTAATTACACTAAAAAAAATTGCAGCATTTGTATCATAATAAATATCAGTATTACATCTATCAATATTACATCTATCAATATTGATAACAGGTAGACAGTTTGTTTTTCTATTTCATTTAATAAACTCTAATTATGTAATAATTAGCTAAAAATACTGCATTAGTATAAAAAGATAAACTGCCTTATACGCGGTAAATTCATTATAAATTTAAAATAAAATAGTAAATTAAACATTTACAGGTATTCAATTTCATTATTAGCATATGATGTTATTTAACCACAACTATTATGTAGTAAATGTTATATAATTACTTTTATTGTGACTACTATTATTATTATAAATATATTTGAGTAATATTTAATTATTATCAACATTTACTATTTGGCCACCTATAATAGATAATTATACTTATAAAATTTAAAGGAAACACGAGATCTCATTAACATTTATTTAGCATTTAATAAAAATCAAAATACATTTGGTACATACAGTAAAATAACTAAAACAAAACTATGTAATTTTATAGGAGGCAAGGATTAAAAAAGCAATTAAAATTTAGCTCACAAGCTTGTTAATCCATCGTTCAAAAAACCAACATAAGTAAACAGAATATAATCAGTAGTAAAAGGTAAACTATACATGGTACAACACATATGAATTAAATTAAATTTTGACATTTGAAATATCACTGATCTCATGCTATGTAAAGTAAAATTTTGAAGTATTCCTTACTTATTATAGGTGTGCTTGAACTCTCATTAGCTGAAACAGTAAAAAAATCAAATTGAGACATATATCCTAA